GAGGGAGGAGTCGATTTTCGGAGCTAGGGTTCCTCCCCCATCGAGCACCCTCCTCTCCTCTCGTCTACTGTGAAAAAAATGAAGAAAAACTGAGTTTGGGAGTCTTGGGATCGATCTTTTATGCCCCTCTATTGAAAAACCCGAGAAAAACACACTTTTGCCTAAAAAACATACCTTAGCGTCGCTAAGGGTTCTTAGCGCCGCTAATGCTGAAAGCTGCGAGCCTCTGGGGGTCAGTAAGGGGCCTAGCGCCGCTACATAAGCCAGCCTTAGCGCCGCTAAGGTGTCTTAGCGCCGCTAAGGCCTAGGCAGCGCGACTTTGCCTTTCGGGCTCGTTTGGGCTCGTTCGAACTCGGAATTGAGTTCCGTTTTTTCCTACGCGTCGCTAATGAGCCCCTCTTCTAATGGTGTCAGCTTTCTTAAAAGATTTTTGAAAACCTGTTCTCCCGGGGTCTCCAAACTACACACCAAAAACGAAAAGAGAACAGAAAAAGACCGGAAAACAAACGGAAAACACCGCAACACTCAAATGAACGCAAAACACATAATAAATGACAAAAAGATCCTTAAACCACCCAAACGACTCAATACAGGGGAAAAAGAACGGTAAAATAATGACTAAAAATGACACAAAAATGGGACAAACATCCTACATTGCCATTTCCAAAATCAACACACTGGACCCTGCAACACATGATAGATGGATTTGGTTGTTGCATAAGCATTCTGTTGCTTCTTCTGACTCTGCCACTATTCTTAAAAAAGTTCATCATTTGGAAAAAGTCGAAAGTAGTGATGCTACTAAGTGATAAAATAGCTAGGCTAAGGTGCTAGAAGTTAAATGTCAAAAAAAATCTGAGACACTTCATTTGGAAGTGTTTTTCTGAGTCTCTGCAGCAAATGTGAATTTGTTGAAAGGAGTGAATGTGGATTGGGTCTGCCATAGTTGTGGGGAGCAGGCTAAAAGCATAGAACATCTCCTGTTTGATTGTGAAAGAGCTTAAACCGTGTGGAAAATGGCACCAACCAGGTGGAATTATTCAAAGACAAATATTCAAGACTTTAGAGATTGATGATGATGGATCTCAACTTAAGACCATTATGTTGTTTCATAGGCACACATTTAGGTCTACCTACACACTTTGATGGCTCTAGAAAGCTCAGAATCTGTGGGTTTTTCAGCGGGTGTGGATGTCAAAGAGTGTTATTGTGCAGACAACTCTTAGGGAGTGGAGGAATTCCAATCTGTTGGGCGATGAGCTGTGACTGGAGTGAAAGCAGAGGGTGCTAGGTTCTTATGTTCAGTGGTTCTTTTTTTTTCCCCATTGTCTATTTTTTTTTTTTGGAATGATAGATATATTATATATAAAGCACAAATGTGCAAATGGAAGCCATCAGCTGAATACACACAACAACAGCTGAATACAGACAACCAACAGTTGAAAAAAGTGGGAGGACAGGTCAGAAGACTGCCTAGAGCCGACCCCAACAGGGTAATACTCGGAAACACTAAATAAACACAAAAATTAAAAAAATGAAGGCCTCAACAGAGTAATACCCGAGTGTCGGACCCCAACAGGATAATAAGGTGACACGTGGGCTCACAGAGGCCAACGGTCCAAACGTGTAACACAGACAACACAAACAAAAACAAACAAGCTAAACATAAAAAGAAAAACTACTA